ACATGTTGACATTATTTTTGACTACAAAATGGGATTAGATGTGATTTAAAGTTGGTGTCTGTGGTCAGGTTATAGTACCTACTGGACCACTCACAGTAATGGGTAAGCCAAATTTGCTATCGCTGAACAATATGTAAAGGTTGAGTATGCGATTCTGGAGAAATTCATACCATGAAAAATACAATGATATAACAACAACACATCAAGAAACTAACGTTTTCTAAAGTTGCTGCTGTGCAGCTAACCTGCAGAGAGGACGTGATGGTTTCCCAGAGCGAGCCCACTAGCTCCAGACAGCGATACTCACAACTCTCCTGCTACTATAACATCAGCACAGCATATCTGAGTAGCTGAAAGTTAGCTGAATGTCTGTGAACAAGTCAATTTAACATTACCTGACACACAAATCCTGGCTGGAATAACAAGTGTTGTGTGGCACAGTCCAGTACACTTTGTTTTCCAATTATACACCAGATTTTTTTCTGTGCACTCACAGAGTGGAAAGCTAGTGGTCCGTGAGGAGATATTTGCTTGAATTTAAAAGAAAAAAAGCCTATTGGATTATATTAACATTACCTAGAACCACTTTCTATGGATGAATAAACAATAACAAGTCTTGATCTAGGAAAATAACACAGGTCATTTGAAGTTTTCCACAATGCAAAATGTGCAACCGAGTCCACTGTTTTCCTCTATCAACACACAAAAGGGCATTATCACTGTTATACCAAGTTTAATGAACAAAAGAAACAAAGGGGAGGCTGTGTTTAATTAACGAAAGACAAATAATCTGGGAAATCATCAAGATTTATTGAGTCTGTTATCCTTTTAGCAGACAGAAACTAACTGGCTAGGCAAGCTGGCTAATGTTTGCAAGCAATTTAACTTAAACTGTTGGTCTGAACCAGAATTTACTCATGTACAGGTTTCACTATTATTTACTTACTATTATTATTTTATTAGATAATAGTGTTTTTTGTTTTACTCCTTTTTAATCCTAAACATGCCACCAAAATGCAAATAACCTTGAAAAAAGTCCACCTTTTTTTTAAGTAACTTTAGTTAATACCAAAGTTTCCAGCTGTTTTAGGAAAATATTTAGCATGTTTTGAAAAATAAAATTACACATTTGTGACTTTTTACACTTCACTACCCACATGAAAGAGGTGAATTAAATCTAACATCTGAAATCCAAACTGTCTCCTGCCCAGAAGTGAGTTAGCACTCCATGTACCAAACACTGTACTCACAACATTGAATCTTTTTCCTCCTTCCGCCTCTTTGGCATGGTGATCTTTGGATGATCACAGACAAAACAGCTGGCAAACTCAAGCACACTGGGTGTTTGGCTTCCAAGATAGTGACATGTTTCATTTTCTGTAAGTCTTGCAGCCTTCTGGAGCCTCCAAGTTGCCTAGTGCAGGTTAACACCTTGTAAGGTATCAAAGAAAACAAACTTTTGTGTGGAGGCTTTCCCTTCTGATCCTGGTTTGACTGACTCTTTTGACTTGAAGTTATATCTCAGTTCTATCCACAGTGCAACTGCAATCCATTTCTGTCCACAACTACGCTGGAGTGATTTGGGTTTGAATGCTTTACTCAAGGACTCCAAGATAATTTCCCCCACTAAGATTTTCCCTGCTGGCTTTATGTCTGTGACCTCAAACCTTTTTAAAAGAAGCTCCTTCTCTAAGCTCTGAGCCACAGCTGCCTTAAAGCAGTATATTAGACCTGTTTAAAGTGGAAAACTGGTTTAAATGACAAGAGTTCTTAACTTGTGACCCTCAAGGTTGCAAGACGACAGGCTGTATTTTTCGGTGTTAGTAATGGATCGGGATGATGCTCGGAGTGATGTCAGCTGTGAAAAAAAGTGGTGTGGGTGCCACGCTTAGTTCAGGGCTCTAACTCTGGCAGATCCTCACATCCCCTGGATTTACAGATCCTCTCACGGACATGTGAGACCACCGCTCGGCAAGCACACTTGATCCCTTTTCTATCTCAAATGTCACATCTCCATCGCGACGCCGGAAAATGGGCTCTGCACTCAGATGTTTAACCAGCAGGACATTTGAAGGGTCAGGATAAGCACACTTGTGGTAATTCCTCTGTATTTTACCGTTAAATCTTTCATTTCTTTGCCTGTTCCTCACCTTAAGTCAGTTGTCACTTTGATGATTGCCATATCCGCTGAATTTCCCACCAGTGTTTATATATCTGGGCCATCTGCTTTGTGTCGCACTGTTTTTCTGACCCCCGGGGCGTCCGGGGAAGCAGTGAGACCACATCATAAGCCAAGTTTCCATCCTGCTGTCAAGTGAATTTTAAGCAAAGTTTTTGAAAAGTCACAAAAAATAAGATGTGAATGAAGTGCCTCTCCTTCATCTCAGCTGGAGTGAATGAGCGGGCTGTAAAAAACACAACCACCAGACAAGAAGTGTTTGAAGAACCGATCAGTCATAGGCAAACTGCTGTTGTTGTTCTTTAGTGGAGACTAATGTCGGCCATATTTCATGCTGTCTGAATATGAAAACAAGAAATGCCCTTGGCTGTATTCTAACTGTGAAAGGCCCCTTACGCATGAAGAGAGAGCAGGTTTAACATTTCAGGGAGGGTTTTGGTGGACAAATATTTTGAGACCTCTCAGAAAAGCCAAATCCTCTTCTAAGCTGTGCACCCAGACTGAGAAAATGATTTTTGTGGCTGCTTATTGTAAACACCCTCGATTGGGAAAACATTTTTATGCTTCAAGTAAGAATGTTTTATTGTAGTTTTCTTTTCCACTCAGTATTTTCTAATACTTTGAGTGTCCACAAAAATTCTTGACTGCGGTGGAAGTTTTTTTGGTTGTATGTGTTGGTATTGAGCTGACAGCCCACTCGTCCGACAGCTGAACTAAACTGACGTATTAAAAACGTATTTTAATCCAAAAAATTATATTTTTTCCTAAATCTAGTCAAGTAGTTTTGATGCCTAAACTGTGACTGTTCCACTGTGTTTCACCATGTGTTTATTATTGTTACCTTGACAATAGAGGTCATTCTTTACTGCATGTTGAAAACTCCAGGGAGAGTGTGTATTTTTGGAGAAGTGGGCTTTTGTTTTAGTGTTTTAGTTTTGTTTTTATTATCAATAAATATGTGTTACTTTTAATAGGTTTGATCACTTTAACTAAAAGGAGTACAGAGGAGCAGTAATTTAATCCCATCGTGTTCCTGACATTGCTTTAAAAAACTGTAGCAATTAGTAATGGGAAATACCACAAACTTTTCGATACCAAGTAATACCAGACTGGGAATCACCAATACAAATATTTTTCAAAAGTAAGGATATAATGTACTTAAAGTAAATACATTTAGAATCACATAACAGTACAATTTACAGAGTAAACAGAATAAAATATAACATAATTTCAGTTCTACTTTAAAAGTATGGATGCCTGGATACTTTCTGCCTTTGGGATCATGCCTTTCTTTCTCACTGGTTGCATGTGTGTTCTTTAATTTCATCAGCGCAGGTTTGTATGTAGCAGATAGTCCTTCAAATATCAAAAAGGAACCACATTTTGCTACCATTTTGTTAAACACAGAGGATGGGGATTGTGCTGGTTACCCTCTTCTTTGATATACCAGAGAAAGACAAAAGTGTAGGTGCCTGTGATGTGTGGGTGTGTTGACATTGTGATAATATCTCAGGATTGGCCCAAAGATTGCCAGTGTTTAAAATATGAATTTTATTTGCATAAGAAATTCAAAATCATGTTGACACAACATACATTTGAAATCAATCATTTTTCATGGGCATCACCAGCAAATGAGTTACATGTGAGAATAACAAACTCAGAAGCTGAAGCAGATGGATAGAAGATGAAGAGGAGGGAAACATGGGAAAAAAATCAATTTTCCTTCTCTCTCAGAAGCTTCCATCCCCACACTCAGCCAATTAGCAGTAATTAAAATGGCCCCTTCCAAGAGTCACAGATAATTAATAGCCTGTATGTGCTTCCAGTTTTTCCTCCCTCAGTGTTTTTTTTTACCCAAATGCAAATGTAATTAAACTTAATAAACAGACGACTGATTAAGTGCAAATATTTGCCCTCTTAAAGCGGGCGGAGCATGAAATGATTATAATTGAATCAAATGCTGTTTTCCCTTTCGCTGTTTGCAGAGATTGAAGCCAAGGAGGCCCGTGATTGGCTGCAAGCGGCCGGCTTCCCACAGTATGTGCAATTATTCAAAGGTAAATATGAGGCTGTCAGTGTAATCCTGTGTCACACAGCCTGCAGAGTCAACTCCAAGATGATACAAATGATGATCTCAGGCAGCGTCTTATTGTTTCATTTGTCTTGTTTGTGTGTCAGACTGCAGGTTCCCCATTGACATCGAGTGGGCGAAGCGTGATCACCACTTCTTGGACAAGGATGCCCTCGATTCGCTCTGCAGGTAACGCACTCATGCAGACAACTGCATGTAAAGGTGCACTTCTATTTCCATATGCTCTACAGAACACAATATGGTGAACAGCTTTTACAATTGAATGTCATCCAATACACCCACGCAGCAGAGTATACAATCTTTAAATACAGTGTTCAGAGAAGTGTTCATTAAACTCTAGGGTTACTGTATTATATTATAGAGTGAAGTCTCCTCTTCAGCTCCCCACATGCCTTATGTATATCACAGTTACAAATTACCATGGAATTTCTTACTTTTAGTCTGAATTTAAGAGCCTATGTAATTTAGAGGATATATTTGAGGGATATAGAAGGCTATTATCGATTTGTGAGCAAAAATTTGTTAACATATTGATTTATATACAGCTGTGTATTGAGGATTCTAGCTAGTATAATTATTGAAATCAGTGCAATGAAATTGTAATTGAGTGAAAGTCGATGCCCTCTAACTTAACTTAACGCAGCAAAAGTGAGTCTGCCCCGTTTGATGATGCCAAACTGAAAAGATTATAAAAAAAAGTTCACGCCTACAGCGTCAGTCAGGTTCAGCTCTCTGCATCGCGGTTACAGGTGCAACAGAGCTCTTTTGACCGCAACCAACAGTGACATGATGCTTTTCTGCTGCTTAAATGTGGTAGTTTCACTGGGCAGGCACGCTCTTTTTGCAGGAAGAGCCTGCTACACAATCACTTACTGATCTGTGGCCAATACGATGCACCACTGGAGCAGTTGGAGGTTTAGTGCCTTGCTCAAGGGCACCACACCGGCGGTAATGAGAGCAAGCACTGCTATTTCCTCAGATTTATCCTTCTGGTTCAGGGATTAAAACGGCTGCCTCCTGGTTACAAGCTTGCTTCTAAAAGGCCACTGCTGTAGCACATGCAGTACTATCATATGTAATTTATTTTTGTATAAAAACATAACATTTTAGTGTTTTTCAGACAGTGACTATTGCATTTTGAAACATAACTCCTTGTATAATATACAGTAGCAGCATATATATGTATGTATTGCAGGTCACTGTTAATAAATGACACTTCCAGTCTAACTACAATCCACTTTTCTCTTTTCTTCGTCTTTAAGGAGATTAAGCACTTTAAACAAATGCGTGGAAATGAGGCTGGAGCCGCGGAGATCAAAACGCAGGGTGAGTGTTAAGAGCAAACAGAGAAACTCAAACACAGCAAGACTCTCATATGGAAGCAGCCGGAGCCGTGGGGGGTGGCGACACACCATGAAATCTCCACATTAGGCATCCCTTGATTTTGACTGATGTAAACTGATCAGTCCTCCTCCTCCTCCTCCTCAACAGCTTCCCTTCCTAGGAAAAAGTGACATCCAGGAGGTGTTCAGACAGGAAAGTCAGGAGGAAACAGAAGTATAAAGCCTTCAGTTTTACACCTTTTATATTAATGTTATGTGATATTTAGTTATGATATGATACCTCAGGCTGCATGTTAGTGACTAAAGTGTAAAGGTGAATCTCCCTTGCAAACATTTGGTAATCAAATCAAATTTGCTAACTACTATTTGTTCTATATAAATGCCAACCAGGTAAACTACAGTAAAATTACAAAATGTATTTAAAACAAGGTTAAAAATCTCAATATAACACACTTTCTGGCCTGAAATGTTAGGAATTAACTCCATCATCCAATACATCCTTCGTTATTCTGTCTCGTATTCTGTCAATCTAACACTGATGTCTTACAAATTCTTGAAACAAGGGTGTTTGTTGCAAAAGTGTTATGTTTCATTTGTTATGATAAAATCAGACTCTTAGGACTTCAGCATAGAGGTGATTCTCTTGTATTTAGTATGTATATAGTTTAATTATGTTGCCAATAAAGAATTGTAGCAGCAGATGGTCAAGGCAAGGGTCAAACATCTTACATTTCCCATAATGCAACTCAAATGCAACTTTTTTAGACATTCCCTGTCTGGTCTTGATGTGTAAAATCTGTAAATCTGTCTCTTTCTGCTCAATCCATAATAAATAATTATTTCATAGTCAATCAAATATAACAATCCAACTCCACATACTCATACTGTAGATACTGAGTATAGTTTTTTGCTTTGTGTGATGTTTATATGATAGTTTGTATGAATGTATAATGATGTTCATTCTTGTATGAATTATTGAGTTTGTGTGCGTTTCAGGTCTCCTTTCTTGTTTGAGTGCTTGTATTCTGTTTGCAGATTGTTGTTCAAGCTTACATCTCTCCTCTGTATGTATTAGTGTCAGTATTTGTATTCTGTTTGAATATCTGTGCCATATTCAGATTTCTGTGAGCTCCTCTCTGCCTGTCTGAACCCTCCTTGTTCTTCTAGGGAGACGACTGTGATGAAGAAGACTTCTGTGCCATCAGCCCCAACTGGACCTATGACAGGCGGACACGACGATGGCGACGCCTGGACTCCACAGTGGACTTCCTCCGCTTGTCTGACAGCCCCACCAGACCCCAAGATGTGTCTCTGTGTGATGTCAGCGACCGCCATGACGTCTGCTCCATCCACAGCTCCAGCAGCACCGAAAGCGAAGGCCACGATGGACACCGAAAGAGTCACGCTGGTACCAGCACAACAGCCTCTGCAACTGCCACCGCCAGCACCACAGATGACCAGGAGACCAGTAGGAGCTCCTCCCGGTGTTCCTCCACCAACAAGACGCCGTCCCTGGACACCTCGTTCAGTGGACCCCCCTCCCCCAGTGGAAGCGGTGGAGGATCATCCGGCGTGATTCTGGAGGCCGAAGGGTGCTTCCCAGACAAACCGCCCAGGAAGAAGGGCACCTGTCTGCTGAGGAAGATGGAGAAACTGAGGCTGAAGGGGACGACTGGCCTCCTCCCTTCTGCTCACAGTGGTGGCAGTAACAGCAGGAGTCGGGCCCGCCACGCTATCAGTGGGCCTGTTCTGGTCCAGGAGGAGGAGAGGATGGAGAGGCTGCACTGCCCCTCAAGGTGAGCTGGATTACAATCTTTAAAAAACCCAGAAGTTCATTTAACAGCATTTACTACTACTAAGAGCTACTTCCAGGATGATCAAAGACTCTGCTGTCCATCTGAATCATCAAACATTTTCTCCGCTGCACCATAAAATAAATTTTTAACCAGATCCCCAAGTTTCAGCTTAATCAAAAAAAGAAACTACTTTCTACTTCTATTTAGACTAAGAAAGTTTGGAAACATGTTAAAGATCTTTTTCTTGTGCCGTGGATGGAATATATTTGATCCTGAAGTACTTGAATTACATATTGTTCCCAGTGCTGCTCTAACTGTAGAGCTCTACCTTCCTGAATTTCTCCAGTCTGCAGGGTCGACCCAACAGCCGTGCATCTTCCTCCCCGTCGTCTCCTCACACCATCAGCAGCAGCAGCAGTAACAGCCACTCAGAGAGCAGCAGCACTGTCAGCACGCCCAGCCCGGTCACCCGCGTCAGGAGTAACTGCAAGCGCTCAAACAGCGGTGCCGGGGTCGGTGGTGGAACAACCCGGAATAACCAGAACCACACAGGAACAGAGGTCAGTCCTCAGTGATTGAGGAAAAATAGAATTAAAGGAAACAATTGCTGATTTAGCACAGCAGAGGTTGATGAAAATGTCATCAGTTTTGCTGAACCAAAGTAGTGGACAAATTAAAGATGAATATTGGATATTGAATGAATATTTAAATCCATCCAACATCAAGAAAGTCAGTAGGATTTATTGGTTATAGTTTTGTCCAGGAACAGGAGCACTCACATGATCAGACAAACCAAATACCAGGTTAGACAAACTGTTACTGTACCAAACTGTACCATACTAATTGTAGTCATTTGTGAACTGTGTGCACTCACAGTTTTCCTGTACTATGAGAGATTATTACCAACCTTTTAGGTGTGACTTTTAGTTTTACCTCCAAATAAAGTGAAATAAAGTAAATTGAGATAATCTGGATGCACTCTTAACTTGTTTAACACCCGTCTTATGTTCCAAACTCAGTCTAGACCTAAAGGTTGTAACAGAAAAAGATCATTTTAACCTGCAGACCCTGATCCGATCCACATGGATATGTTTTACCTATGTTAGATTGAATAGCTTGTATTCAGTTTTAGACCTTTGCAGAGTGGTTACTTTTGACGCTAAGTGGCGTATACAGTATTGGGTAATAATTTTAGTATTTTTATGCACAATAATATGCTAAAGTAAAGCTGGTGATTACTGTCACTCATCCTTATATTCCCCATGTCAGGACTACAGAAACCAGATCAACAATAACAACAACAGCATCCACGAGAGTCTGGTTTTCCAAATCCCCCACGGACACAAACCGGGGACCTTCCCCACCTCCCTCGCACACAAACACACCATCCTGTCCCCCATCATCGACAGCACCTCCGTCAACTGGAGGACCGGAAGCTTCCACGGTTACCGGGGGCGACACAGTTGCCGCCGTGGCACGTCATCGCTGGCCACTGCGGACCCAGACCCCTCATCTTCTTCTTCTTCATGTGATGTCGGGGCCCCCAGCCCGCTTGCTGCGCTGGATCATCGGCTGAGTATCTACGACAACGTGCCCGACGACCAGCAGCTGTCTGGAAGTGAAGGCGGCAGTGGTGGAAGTGTCAGTGAGGAGTCAGAGGTGGGTCAAAAGACTGTTACTCCACTGTTACTTGTATTCATTAATTTATTTTCTTTCAGGGGAGAATAAGGTTGCCTGGCATCCATTTTTTGATATTTTGCAAAGAAACAAATTGGATTTCGGTGGGCTGATACTGCTGTCTTTATGCAGGTGTTAGTCACACAGTTACTTCCAGCAGTTTTCATGCTGCAACACCATAAATGTCTTTGAGGACAGACTGTGTGTGACATAATCCCCATTTGACGAATTATTGCGTCAGGAACACAAAGTCACACAAAAGACACAGAAACTTTTCCTTTTTCCCACTTTAAAGTCCTCCCCTCAGGAACACGTTAAAACATTTTTGCCTTTAGATGTAGTCACAGACATGTCTTACATCCCGGTTCCTTTGAAGCATCCAGAGGACTTAACAGTTTCCATTCTTTAACAGTGTTTAATGATTAGTCACTGCATCTAATGCCAACAAATACATCCCAGTATGTACATTAACTCTAACTAAAGGCCCTACAAGGAACTTCTGTGTTGTTTCTGCTAGCCCCTGTGGTCCAAAGCGGTATTGTTTCTACCGCCTCGTTTCATTGACTTCAAGGGGAATCTGACCTGGTGGCAGGCAGAATATCTGTGTAGAAATAGCCAGTCTTCTCCCAGGTGATCTTGTTTCTTTATGTTGGTCATATAGAGGCATCAGTATAAACTTGAGACTTTATTAGAAGCAGTTAAAAACTCCTTGTAGTGTGTTTAACAATATTGTTAAAGTCAAATTGCTTTAGTTTAGCTAGCTAATCAAAGAAGAGGTAATGTATCCCCTCAGAAAATGGCAAAAGAAATGTTGTGATGCCACTCATTCACCACCATGTTGTTGTAGTAGTAAGGAAGTGGTATTTAATAAAAGGCAACTGCAGGGAACAAAGCTCCGTCTTCTAACTGTAGGAACAGTGGCACAGCAGAGTGGAGCTGTCCAGGTGCTGAACAGGTGATCTCTGTGGAAGGGGGTCTGTCCATGGTGCTGAACCTCTGACTGTCACTGTGTTGGATGAGTGGATTCAAGGGCCCAGATTTACTGTAGTTATACATTTTGTTCCACCTGGCTGTGAGTGACTTTGTGGATGCAGAGATTCGTTCCAACATGACAGAACAGGTCAGAGAGTGATAAACGGAAAATGATTACTTAGTGAAGTAATCGATGAGTCACTGTTTGGGATCAACATGTAGAATATGGTTATTTTGTGTAACAAGGCTGTCAAATTCTGCTTTTATAGAGTGCAAACCAAATACAGATTCATACATATCAAACAGGCAACACACGCAGGAGTCTCTTTTTTTCTCTGTCTTTCTCTCTCTCTCTCTCTCTCTCTGGCTCTCCACTAAAGAGAGAATAAAATCCCCTGAAGAACTCTTAAATGAAAGTCTATAAAAACACAGGTAATTCAATCGGGGATATCGATTCTGCTAAGCTAAGCTCCATATGGAGTTTTCTCATAAAGCCGGAAATCATTTTGTGAGCGCTCGTATCAAATTCCATTTTTTATTGATACTATACAATAATCTGTAACTACTGATATTAATCATCTCACTTCAGACGTGTTTCCTACCAAAGTAGGAAAGGAGCCATTTGGAATAAAGTTAGAACCCTCTTTGACAAAAAGATGGCAGCCATGGAAGCAAAAGTTGACATAAAATATTATAGAAGTCATTAGATAATGGCTTTTTAAGGAACCCATTATTTTTACCTCTGATCCTTGGAAAAACTGGGTAATATCTGTCCTCCGAAAGGGATATATAGCAATGAAAACCTTAATTTACAGAATCCTAAATTCTGCTGAATCAGCTGACTGGGAAACGTCTCTTGTTGGCATTGTAATTCAATTTTAACGATGCTGTGTTTGCTTTTTCTTGATTTTGAAAAGCCCCAAACCAAAGGTTTGGAAAAAACATTCAGAAAGATTGTGTGCCTTTTTATCCTTAAAAAGAGACACAATTTAAAAAATGGTAATTGAACAATGTAATATTTGTAGTTCTTGTTTGTTATAGTGAAGTTCCTCATTGAAACTAGTAAGTACAGTATGTCCTGTAAGCTTCCAGTGTCGGGTATTAACTGCTTTTAGTGAGAAAGTCTCTTTTGTGGGAATTTTCCTGTAATTTTTTCCTAATTCCTTTTCTCAGGTGAGTCGGCTGTTGGCAGGTGAAGACGTTTTCTCAGCTCTGGACAGCGTTTTGGAGAGGATCAGCGACCTCCAACAGCTGGTCACCACCTGGTCTGAAAATCTATCCGAGGACGACTGTCAGAGAGGTTCCTCCTCCTCCACGTCTTCTTCCTCCTCCTCTGCGTCTTCCTCTTCCTCCCATGACTCACCTACCCATGGCTCCTCGGCTGCTTCCCCCTGCCCCTCCTCCCCCAGCCACATCCACCTGGAGGTGCAGCATCCGGAGGAGGCGGAGGAAGTGGATGCAGACGCCCGTGGGAAGGTACCTGTGAATGGAGAGGAGCCGAAGACTAGATCTCCACAACCCAGAAGCAGGTGAAAACGCTTCGAGTATAATGCAGGAGTATAATGCAAGAAATAATAACTGTAATTAAATCAAGTTTTATTTATAGAGCATATAATATTTTACAAGCAATTCAATTTAAAGTGTTTCACAAGTGTTGGTAAAAACCGATCAGGGTCGTTAAAAAGATAGTCGATATAAAGAACTCAGGAACAGGAGGAGTGACACTTAACTTCCTAAGTTAAAAGCACATTTAGCATTCAGGTCTAGGAAATACAAACTAATTATTGGACACTTTAGGTGGCTATGGACATTTGTAAATGTAAGCCTTTATGTCCAGAAGAGCACTAATAATGGCAGTTATGGGGATTTATTCCCTCAGGCATCATCCAAAGTAAAGGTGGAGTTACTGTGAGGCACTTAAAATAAAAGCAGTAACCTCATGGTGAATAGTTTTGATCGCCTCTTTATGGTGCTGCTTTTATATCTCTTAGTTGTTGTATATTTATTCTCAGAAATAAAGCAATAAAAAGTTATGAAGCCTCTCCTGTAAAGTAAAGTCAGCCACATCATCACTGTTTGCTGATGGACGCCACTTGTTTCTCATTTTCTGCTCTGTGTATGTTTTACTGGCTTAGTTTTAATATACGTCCCCAGTTATGTGTGTGTGTAAGTGTATGTGTGTGTATGTGTGT